GCGCGCCAGTCACGTGTGCGTGTGTGCTTGTGGTCTCAACCTTCCTACTTGTTTAGTTACCTCAATCACGATTCCAGAGATGCAACCACAGAACACACATACACAGCATAAACTGAAGGCTACAGAGGAGTAGAGGACCTAGCGAATTATGGGTGCAAGAAGAGAAGCTTTTTTGTGTTCTATCTACATTTAATACTCCAGCACTTGTCAGCTGTCACAAAAAGCAACAGTTTTCAATATCTGACCCATGCAGCCATGTCTAGAGGAAGCATCTCTGTTTCACAAATACAGCTAAAAAAGCAGCAGAAAGCGAGGGAGGGAGAGAGGGAGAAAGTCATCTAGGGCTCGAGAGGAAGGTGTTCTTAAGATCTTCACCAATAGATCTAAGGGGAAGTTGAGGGACTCTTGTGACCAAGTTTGCAGTGAACACTCCTTCAATGTCTTTATGGATGTAGATAGGACTTGACCTACCACGTATCCATGTGCCTTATTCTTTGCTTGTGGTTTGTTCTCTTTCTAGTTTATTATGGATTCTACTGTCATCTCAATTATCATCCCCATTACAATAACAGAAATACTTGTAAATAAGCAAAGAGAATGATAAATCTAACTGTGGAAATGCTAAAGAGAGAATTAAAATATGAGTTTCCCATCTAAACTATATATAGAAGACGATTGTCTTGTCAAAACCTTTTATTTCCATTTTTGTCGTTTTAAGTTTGATAATTCTCAAATATGTCATTAGTTATAATTAATCATTCACTAATTATATATAACCTCTTATCAATTATGCATTTCCTCACTTTTTCAAAACCTTTGGCCACACTATGTTTTATTATTTAATTACGTTTTTAATAGAAAATTTTGAAATTTATCCCTAACTTATCTTCACATACTATTTAATATTCTAGAAAAATTAAAAATAATAATAATTCATTAGGGTTATGCCTTACACCCTTGGGTTTCACCTTTATGGAGGACTACTTGTTACCGTGCATCTTATTAGCCTTTTAAAAGTATGACAATAGCATGGAAAACAATATGTATTTATTGTAATTGTAATAATATTGATAGTATAATGATTTTAATAGTATTTTTTAATTAATAAATTACACTGTAATTTAATAATTATACAATTTGGTAAATTATTTACTAAGTGTAATAAACTAATTATTAAATTAAAATGTAGTTACTAATAGTGTTATAATTATGCCATGTATAATATTATTATATTTAAAAGAGAAGAAACTATTTAATACTTTATAATTATTTTAATAAATTATGAATAAATTATAATAATTATCCAAACTATAATTAGTAATCATACAATTCTTTATACACATTTTTATCATACAATTTATTCATTTAAATAAAATTATAATTGTTCAGAACTTATATTGCTATACAAGTCATTTCATTATTTTGCAACCAACAAAAAAAATTTGAAAAACATAAAACAAAATAGGGATGCTCTCGTGCAGAGCACATGCACTACACTAGCAGACAACAAAATCATAAACTAAAAGAGAGAAGATGTACCTTGTCAATAACAAAACATGTGCTCGTTTCATCCTTCTCCTTGAGTTTCTTTAGCAATCCAATTGCAGAGCTGATACACAAAACTAGTTCATGAGGAATTGAATATCATATGTAGAGAATAAACCCCAGTAATAAAGAGGGACACATGGGAGCATACTTCACAAAGTGGTACCGGACGCAATATAAGATGACCCTACTGCAGCCGTCAAACCAGAAACTGGAATCATTCAACTCTTCTAGAAGTCGAAGTAATCTATCTAATTTTCCATCAGATTGAATGTGCTCCTGGAAAAGAAACATATTCAAATTAAAAAGCGACTACAATATTTATCATACCATCTAAATAAGTTGTTCAACAAATTTTCATTACAGAAATATGATAACTTACAATGAGGCTTATGACAGTTTTGGGCTCAGTAGTACATCCAGCTTGCTTAATTTCATCATATAGTTGAAGTGCATCTGTGATTTGTCCATTAGACGACAAGGATGCTACAAGCACGTTCTTGAGTTCATTTAAGTATTTGGGTTGTATCTCACTGTCCAGAAGAACCTAAATCAGAGTTTAATTAGACACAGCCAGAATATCATAGGAAGCTATGCATCCTCAAGTACAGAAGTATCTGAATTGATTATGAGATGCAGTTCCTTACACAAGATTATATAACAAGATTAAATTGGATTCAACTGGTGCTTTCTTTTGGTATTTAAGTGAATATTGCAACTGTATCTAACATGTAATGATGCATGAAGTATAGCTATGATACATTCCAAACAGGGTTTATGAGACATGAGTTTGGATGGTGTTGGCCATCCTATTAAAAAGTTTCATCATAACGAAAGCTAAAATATACCTAATAATATGTTTCAAAGGACGTACTTAAGACACCCCTGTAAATTCGTGGTTTTTTAGACATTAATCCACAACGGACCAGACTTTTGAAAAGGATGCTCTATAGGCATATCATCAACGAATAAACAAACAAACTAAGAAGCAATTCACTGTTGAAGGAGCGACTTTTTGATATTTGCATATGTGAATCAAGCTCAGAGTATTTAATATTTTGGTTCAGACACAAATGACTATGATCAGTTCTAATAATTGATCCGCTGAAAGAACTTCTCCTACTACTAGATAAGATACAGGCGTCAACACCCTATATCCCTGACGGTACTCGTAAAACCCCTTCCTTGTTACAACAGTAATGCAACTAGTGATGTGGATTGAAGATTACACTCTAACATGCACCCCACAGTTTGATCTTCTTTCTCATGAGCTGAAATCTACACTACTTTATTCAATGTTACTGTTTTCTTTTTTAAAATCTATTTTAAAATGTGTTTGATGGCTTATGAGCCGGGGTTGCTCTAGTGCTATCATAAAATCCCTTCTGCCATATAAAACATATGAAGATGCGATGAGAGAGAAGGTTAGTATTTTATACTCTAGTATGTATCATAGTCCTTGCTCTGTGTTAATAAGAATGAGATTGATTATCAAATATGTGAAGAATGAAAGTGAACATGTTTTGGTTGGAAGCTGAGCATGCTGACTGCAAGGAGGTTTACACTTTACAGACATGGATAACAGTAACAGCATTAACATTGAAGCCTTAGTCTTATCGCACTTAATGAAACAATTAGTTTTCTTAAGTGCATAAAATTGTCCCTAATGAGGCTTAAATCATTCTTCATCCTCAAAAAATTTGGCCATTCATTTTCATCTTCCTTAAATGCCCCTATATTCATCAGTACTTGAAAATAATGTCTGACTTTGATTATGTGTAGACTAGATGAAGCTATGAAGATGGAAACAATCTTTTTGGACAAAACTATCGCAGAAGCATATTGAGAATGTGCTCCAAGACAACATCCAATGAAGTAATTGATTAACTACACGATGATGGCACAATCCAATGACTAAGCTGAATGATATCCTGAGGGTTCCCAACATGGAAACCTAGTGGAAGGATCCTCGTAACTACAAGTGACAGAGAAATGTAGGGCATTTTTTATTCCATCATTGACGCCTCGTTCAAAGGAGTCACTTATCTATGGATCACAATGTTATGATCTGATAGAAACTAGTAGGTTTCTTTATATGGTTATTTTATGTCTACTTATTTTTATTAAGAAAAAGGTACAACCACAATATACTTCGATTGATATTTAAAGCCACATGACGATTAAATGATCTACAGCTCTGTCACAGCTTAAATTCCATATAAATATTGGTAACAAATCTAAGTAAGCACCCAGAATATGGTAGGCGAAAATTTAACCCAATATAAGCCAGACAAGCTTTACAATGGACACTCTACACCCTATTGGTCATACAGACCAATTAATATTTCCTAACCAGCCAGCACTTCTAATAAGAGAACCCAAAATGCTTCTATGCTCCTCAATGTGAAAATTAGTCTTACCCATTTTGGTAAGCAGTTCCCATTTTCAAAGGAAAAGACTGCATCATCTCTTACCTTCTCCATTTAACAATGACACATGTTCCCCTTATATCCTTATGTATCCATTTTCTTTGAGAACGAAGCAGGCTGGTAGTTATGATAGGTATTTTAATGAGTCAAAGGCCGTTCTTCCCTTTTATTCATCAAATTTCC